GAAAATTACACGTGTAAACAGGAAAATACGCGACTGCTGAATCGAAATTATGTCATAGACAAGTAGTACGAGTTCAGTGGTGAAATGCCAGCGAATGTTATATTAATAGACGGCTGTTTCCACGTGTCATTCCTCCTTCGTTTATCCTCTATAGACGAAATTTCGAAAATAGTTTCGGTGAACGATGAGAAAGCATCGCATTCTGTACATTGCGACAATTATTACCTAATTGCGAAGTATCTATAGCTATCGGAAAATAATGCGGACCTAATCGAATACGACTAGTTGCCTAATTGAATAGAATTAATTGCCTGACTGAACAATTGATTGTATACGATTTTTCGAGTATCAAAATTTTTTAATTATTTACTCTTTCAATAAAAAGTCAAAATGATCTTTTAGCTAGTATCACGATGAGTTCAATGACCTGCAATGCTGTAACCTTGAAGTGTCCTTGAGCTCAGAATTCTACCGAGATAGTATACTAGTCTTTCTATCGTCTAGAAAAAATTCAGACCGATTAATCTAGTTTTAAAAAAGTAATCGCGTTTTAAGAAGCGTCCCAATATTAATGGGAATCGCTATAGTTTGTGAAGAAACTATTTTCTACAGCGAAGTTCACAAGTTGCAATATATTATATTATATTATATATAATTTATTATAAAATATATTATATTATATATAATTTATTATAAAATATATTATATTATATATAATTTATTATAAAATATTTTATAATATATTATATCTTATATATATTGTATCTATACATATTCTATCTCTAAAAATATAGCTATAATATAATTCTATGCATATATCACCCTATGCGCTTGTTACGTGAAATCAGTTTTTCTTTGGACTGTTGGCGCCATCCACGGCGAAACGTTCAAACTGTTAGACGAGTCTAGCCATTTACAGGGGATGTATCCACAGACGAGGTATAGGAGGACTTACGTGAAAATACTCAACATATTTTCAATTTGAATTCATAAAAGCTAGGCTCTTTTATTCTTGAATACTATGACGTTAATTATAAGCTTATTTCATTTTCAATTTTTAATATACTCTTACCAATATATTATTGATAATGTTGCGGGTAACACAGAAATAGTAATGGAAATTTTTGTGCCTCGCGAAATCGATCTCGAAAGTATTGAATTATTCTAGCAAAATTCGCTCGGTATAATAAATAAATATTTAAACTGTGTATGAGCTATAATATAATAATTTAAATTATAATATAAACTAGGTATACATAGCTGGCTATAATATAATTTGGGTATACATAGTTTAAATTGTTACTATAATAATATTATATAGTAATATTATTATTACTATATATATAGTAATAATGTAGTATTAATAGTATAGTATAATAATAGTATAGTATAATAATAGTATAATAGTATAATATATATAATATATATAGTATAATATAGTATAATAATTCTATTATTATTACTATATATATAGTAACAATAATATTGGTAATAATAATTTTAGCTATATATACCCAAATTCTCCATTTTTGTGCACAATCCGAGCGTCAATTAGGGAGAACTTACTATAACCAGAAAAATATCTGGAAAGAACCGTGACTGTGACGGTTCAGGTGCGGAATCGAGCAGACTGAATTTGGAGGTCTCAGATCGAATTCCGCTGGTCCAGTCGTGTTTTCGTAGACGCCTGGAATTAGACATCACAAATCAAAGATAACATTGAGGTAAGATGCGTAAACTTAGACTTCATTTGCATCCACCTCGAGGACTGCAGTCTGTAGTCGTATTCAGAGGAACATTATCCTTTAGCTTCGTTTTCTTCTTCTTTATTTTTCTCATTTCATCGTCCCTTTTCTTTATGCTCTCTCTCTCTCTCTCTCTCTCTCTCTCTCTCTCTCTCTCTCTCTCTTTCTAGTTCCTTTTCTCTTATTTCGCATTGTTTTATCAATATCGTGCTTGATTTGAGTATGTTATATCAATCATTTGCAGCTTGAAATCGTCGAACGAAGTTAATTTTTTAAGTAGTTCGTCCTTTTTCACTGGGTCGACGAAGAAACGCGCTAATAAAATGATAATTCATTATAATATTTATTTTATTTAAGTTACATTATTAATAAATACATAATAATAATATATAGTATATAATAATAAAATATATTTTAATATATATTATTACCAATAATTACTAATAATTTACTAGCAATTATTATCAAAAATATCTCATTTCACGAGAGCATATTTAACTTGATAATGTGCAAAATGCAAATGTCTTTTCATCATCGCGCGAAGCTGTTTCAAAATGTTATCTATGCGAAGAAAATAACACGTGGAGGCAACGGTCTATTTTAATATTTGTTGGCATTTCATCGCTGACTTCGTAAAGAGCATTTCACTTTTCCTTAGAATTTCGCAGCCTCCGTGTATATAATGTTAAATTCTATCAAATAAAAATTGTACAGAACCCTGTTCGGTGTATTATATACAGTCGTTATACATATATCCGTAGCGGATATATAATCTCGAGGAACATATAGATCGTTCGCGACCTTGACCGCGTCAAGGTCGACTCTGTCACGCATCGAAAATTTCCGCGAGAGTCAAGTGACTCCCGTTGATATTCGGATACTTTTCAAAATGCAATAATTTTTTAGAACTGGACTAAAAGACTTGAATTTTTTTTTAAGTGATAGAGGGATTAGTATACTAGACCATAAGTAGAATGCTTCATTTTCAAATTTTGCTATTGCTTAGAATAAGCAATAGCAATATTAGTACTATTATTATTAAGCAATATTAGTATTATCTATTATTAATTGCTATTATTAATATATATATAGCAATAGCTATAATAATATTAGCAATATTAGCAATATTAGTATTAGCAATAGTAGCAATATATTGCTTAATACTATAACAATACTAATACTATACAATACTAATATTGGTTAATAATAATAGTACTAATATTGTAATAATAATATAATATAATAATATACTACTAATATAATAGTATATATATACCAGTCCCTTTGTCATCTAAAAAAATCTCCAAATCGTTTATTCTATTTTTGAAAAAATTATTGCGTTCTAAAGAGCGTTCGAGTAATAATGGCAGTCACTATACAGCGACCTTGAGTCCGTTACAGACGAATCCAGCCCAAGGTTGAACGAATGCGACACGAAGTCATTATTCAGAGAAAGTCGACCTCTGACAATGAGTCCCTCCTTGGACACGTCAAGCTCAAGCTGCTTAGTTCAACCCCTTCTACTATGACTTCTTTCGCAGCTACGATGATCTAGCACTTGTGCGTCCTTAAATGATCTCCCTGATAGAACGAGAATGACTCTTGCATTTCTTCGATTACTTTCGTTTCTAGCCTTTCGTTGGTCAGCATTCGCAATGTTTACGTTCATTTGTTTATGTTTACACGCGATTAGGTCACACGCGAGGCCTCGGTGTTTTCCGTCGCCGAATATTATTTCAAACATTGCAGCAGTCATGGCAATTTCTCCTTCAATGTCATCCGAAGGTCATTATTATAGCGGGTGGTTAAATAAAAAAAAACATCCCCTACTATGAAGTTAAAATAAAACTGGTCTCGTTTAAAAATATAACGGCGTCCTTGTTTTCTTTATCGAAGATCAATTTGTTTTAAACGATTGCAATTTCTTGTCATTAATTAAAATTAATTAACTTCGATGAGACCATCGGAAGGGGTTGAAAAATTGTGACTCGCTCGCGCTGCTAATTTGCGACTCACCCCGTATATAAAATGCATACACGATGGAAATACCGTCAGAACAAATTTCGTGTTAAGTAAGCAAAGGGTTAATTCTCTTCGCTCCTAGTGCAAAGGGTTAATAAACAACGCACACCACATTCTATTTTATTTCTTTATTAAAGCTCTTCGATTCTTCTTTCTCCTCTTTCCTTCTTCTTCTTTCCTCGATTCTTCGGCCGGCGTTATTTCTACAAGAAAAAAATAGATCCAGCAATAATACGATGCAACGGAAATCCATGTTCAACACTTCCATACATTCTCATTTCAGCGAGCACTTAAACGGACCCGCCGACGAGATCAATCAGCGGCCGTCCTTGACATTGCAACGAGAAGAAGCTCGGCCCGACTCAGGCCCGAATCCTCCGCGAAATCCGGAGCTAAAAAATTGCTAAAAATCGACTCCAACTATCGCTCGAACAATCCGCGCTCGCGATTCCGATAAAAAATTTTATTATTCTCCGATTAAAAAAGAAAAGAAACGTGAACGACGAAGATGAAAAAAAATAGCCGCGCAGTGTAGGCGTAAAAACGCGAGCGCGCAGACGATTTCGCGGGCGGACGCGGCTCGTCGTCGGCAGTCAGGGAAAGAAGGAAGGCTCCGGATCTCGACCAATCGCGTTCCGCTGGCGGGGGTTGTGCCATAAATGTCGCGCGTCGAGCCGTGGAAACCCGCCGTCAGGTCGGCGCCACCGTACCGACGCCCGGTATACTAGTCCACATTTTTGGCGGCAGCTGCCCAGTCTAAGGTCCAAACCCCGAACCGAACGGTCGTCCGAAATACTTAGGTAAAAAAAAGAAAAAAAAGAAAAGAAAAGAAGGACTAACTTTCCATCGACCACCGGTCATATCTGTCGAGTTCAATTGTCTCCGTTCGAGTAGTTCGCTTTTAATCATTCTTTCTCCCTCGGGGCGAGAATCTTTTTCCCATTGGCGACGACGTAATAATAATTATTGTTGTAATTGAAATCGTAATCGTAATATAATCGTAATTATAATAACTATACTGTAATGGTAATAATGTAATAATTATCGTCGTCGTAAACTATAATAATAATAATAATAATAATATCGATAATAATAATAATAAAAATAATAATATCAATAATAATAATAAAAATAATAATACCAATAATAATAAGAAGAATAATAATATCAATCATAATAATTGAAATAATAATATCGATAATAATAACAATAATAATAATAATAAAAAAGAGATCACACGCGAAAAGATCAACGCGTTTATCGAGAAATCGATCTCTCGACGGACTCTGTGCGGTACCAGAAGAACCGAATCGATAAAAAACGATACCGATAGTGCTCAAGGTCGCGACCAGAAGATAGACCGAGTTTTACATTGTTCGGCGAAGGAAGATCCAAGGATCGTGCGACGACTAAGTGATACGGAGGAGGAGACCGCTGATTGGACACGATCGTCCGCTGGCTTGTGTCCTTCTCTCTGCGTATATTTAGTAGGAATTCGCTCTTCCATTAACCTAGACAGATTGCGCTGTTTTCGTTCACTCTGACACGCACACACACGCGCACACACACACGTACACATATTCGGTCGCAGGAACGTGTAACAGAACGTTTCGATCGCCGACACCCTCGCAAGGTATTTTTAGGCTCGATTGATGCTGCTAACTAACCACTCGAGCTGGCCGGTTATGCTCGACGAGACGGGGAAAAAATAGAAGCACGATCGGAAACAGATGTTAATCGCTGAAAAAACGAGGATCCTGTTCCGCGTCTCATCCGATCGCGGAACAAGATCGCCGCGGCCATTTTTCTTTTTTCCCCTGACACCGTTCGCGTCGCGCGATCTGCATGATGTTACGACTCGCCTAACAGTCTCCTAAATACCTTTTTCGTTTCTAACCTATCATATATAATAGTATCTCTCCCCCCTCCCTCCCAGCTGTGTGAGAATATTCGCTTGTTTTTCTTTATCGCAGAAAATAACGAGAAAAACGCGAACAGTCGCTCGCGGAGCAGATTTATGCTTTTCTTCTCCCCCCTCCCCATATAGACACGTGTGACGAGTACAGTGATCGTGTGAAAATCAGAAAATTGTGGATCGATTTGTTGGTGACATACCGTTTGGGCCGCGAAGATGTTGGAGAAATTATCGACGCGAAAGTCGGGCTCCGTAGATCGCGCGTTTCCCGACGCGGTTACGTAACGATGGTAATAAACGTCGCAGAATCTACCGGCGGTCGTTTGCGGAACTGCGCAGCAGCTGTTTCTCGTCGAACGGCAGCGAAAGTGAATCGCGCCGGAAGTCGATCGTTTCTTCGCCGAATTCGAGTCCCAAAGTTGTCGACGACACGTTCGCGAATCGATAAAAATATGCGCGTATTTATCGACGGTATTTATCGTGACACACGAAAGAGACGCGAATTCGAAGGTTTACGGACGGAGGAGAGCTCGCGAGGTTATGTCCGCGCTCCGCGAACTGTTGCGGGTCTCGACGCGAAAGAGAAACGAACGCGAAAGAATGGCAATTAGAAACACAAGAGCGACGCGAAACGGTGAAAAATATCGGACCGAAAGCGTCGTCGAATCTCCGAAAGTTGTCACAAAGTTCCAGGATTTTCCAGCGGATAAAACGCGACGTTCGAAACTCTCGCGCACGATGCACGGAACAGGACTTCTGCGCATCCCACTGCGCAACAGCAGCGCCGCGGCGGTCGCGCACACGGGTGACGCTATTTTTCCACCAATTTCGAACGTTCATTTTCGCTGCAATGTATTCGAACGAACTATGAATTCGATTAGCAAAGAGTTCTAATATTATTCTGTGATCGATTAATCACCGGTTGATTCTCTGTAATTTAAATTCTATATTTTATATCGTTCTAAATATATTAACTTTCTAGTTTCGGTTGAATTAAGTCGCTTCGACGCGCCGCGGCTTTCTAGAGCGCGCGGATGCCGCCGGTGGCGCTAGTGTCGCCTCAGTTCCGAGTGTCAGCGTCGGTCCGAAAAATTGCGCGAATCTCGTCGACGTTAACGGGACGGCCCGTCACAGACGCGTGACGCGTGCTAGCCGGGAGGGGGGGGGATGTTAATGGCGAGAATAGACTTTAAAAATACGCGGTGAGACATGAGATCGCGGTTGCATCACCGGTGTATTATTAAACGCACGCGGCGTTCGAACGCGTTCGAACAGTGTGCGGGAAAAGTGGCCGCGCGGTTGTTTCGTTCGATCGATGCGATGCTCATGGACCCGTCGAACGGGCCATGCGCGCTTCCAAGACCATAACGAGATGCTTCTAATTTCGTGGAAGACCAGGTCCGCAAAATAGTTGGCGAGCCGCGCGGCTCGGTTTCGCCCGCGCGCTCGCATACCAATTCGAGGCAGACGCGGCGGCCGCTGCGTGACGCGGCGCGCACACACCGCCGCCGCAGCGGCGCGCCGCGAAGCGTCGCGGCTGCGGTCGACGCTCGCTGCCAATCGCAAACCGGCCGGATTGTTTATAATAATTGGCAGCGGTTTGTTTAGCTGTTATGTAACCACCGCCGGCGGTATACTTTATACCGGCGCTGGTAAAAATAGGCGGCCGTTGAGCGCCGCCAAGTCCGTTGTGTCTGTTATAGCCGTTCCCTTTCGACGACCGGCGGAACGCTTTTCGGCTCATTTCTTTTTTTTCGACTCTTCGCAACCGCGATTCGATTCGCGCTCTCGGATAACCCTTTCTTTAGGTTAATTTTCTCGGAGGACGATTATTGTGATTATTTATTTTCCGACGGAAAAATTCGTTTATTTTCTTTGGCTTTGCGGAACGAGTATCTCGTTTCGTCTCGCTCGGTGGTTGTTCGGTGGTTTGTTGCGTCACGTGTCGGATATTAACCTCAAAAATTCTAGCGATGCGAAAATCGTTTAGTTAATGCGATCGAATTTGGGAAGTTAAAATTAATCGCTGGAAATATTTGTTTCAGTTTGTTGCATATTACAAGTGCTAGTAATATGCGGTTTGTTGAATGTATTGCTATGAAAATGAATTTCGAGACCTAGGCAAAAATCAGTGTCACCCTTATGGGGCTCGCGCGGCCCTCAATTTAACGGGTTAATTTTACGAAAATAGAAAAAAAATATATATATAAAATATATATAAAAATATATATAATAATAAATAGTACAAATATATATGTAATAATAATCAAATAAAATACTATAACATATAATAAAAAATAAATAGTAATAATAAAATATATATACATTTTTGTATTATTATTATTACTATATATATTTTTATATATTACCCTTAATAAATAATAATAATAATATATATATATATATTTGTATCACTATTATTACATATATTGTTATATATATATTTCACGAAATAACTGAAACAGTAAATTCCGCCCAATAGTCCAGCTTGCGAACAAAAATGGGCAATTTCGCGGCGAGCCTCGAACAATCGTGTCAGCTCTCCCGGAATTTCCCATTCCTATTCAGAAGCCGAAAAGCGCAATCCGGACGGATTTACCGCAAATTTTCCCGGACATTTGTATCAGATTCGATTTGTCGCTTCGATCGCCTCGAGACCGTTTTGCTCGCAAATCGCGAGCAGCTGTCGCGATCGTGAACCGTCGAACGGACTGCCGAAGTCGTTCGAATTCAAAGGAAAGCGAGAAGCACCGTCGACGCGAGCCAGGCGATTATTTTATTTCCATCAACAATCGACTCGAAATACCGGGCCGTTTGTTGTGCTTGTAACGTTAGCCTTTTCCTCGTATTCTTCGGTTTTATCTTTAGAATTCGCCGCAAGTATTCTTACGCGAACGACCTTGCAGGCCCGCTTCGTGTTACGTTACTTTCGTCGGAATAGGCGGATGGAGAAGCGAAGCGTCGAATTTTGTGGAACCGATTGCGTCGAGGCGCCGTCGATGATTTCTGCCGGCAAATCGAATCGCAACGCCGGCAAATCGAATCTTGAAACCACAAGTGTCCATAAATTTCACGGTAAATCCTCCCCGATTGCGCTGTTCGGCTTCTAGAACAGGAATGGGGAAATTCCGGGAGAGGCAGACACGATTATTCGAGGCTCGCCCCGAGATTGCCGATTTATTATTATGATAAAATACGGATAAAATGACGGATAAAATTACGAACTGCCTTAATAAGAGACACGCGCTCCAGATTTCTCATTCTCTTAATATGACAGAGCACCAGTCACCAAGTGCCAAGAGGCGCCTCGCTCGCGGCCCGCTTGACATAAGCTGAACCGCCGCGCGGCTGACCGAATTAAGGCGTCACCACTTTCGGGCCGCATCCGGCTAAATATAACGCCGCGAAAAGGCTACTTTCTGCCCGAGCCGAGCTTTTCGTTGCCGAATGTCCAAAAGAATTCGAAGCCGAGCAGGAAGTAATTGACGCTCGAGTTGCGCGCCAAAATTGACAATTTGGGCATTTTTATAGTTTATATACTGATGTAATTGTTACTTAATAATTAAGTTTTTATAGTTATCGATTGTCGAGGACTATAAAGTAATAATATAGAATAATCGTATCCAGAAAAATGGACAATTTGACTATAAAAACGAGCTCGCATAATCGTATCTCCTCTTCCCGAAATTGTCCATTTTCGTGCGCAATCCGAGCGTCAATTAGGGAGACATTACTGTTTCTCGAAGAATCGAATCGCGCGGCAACGAATCGTCGCCTCGTCGTTGCGACTATTCCACGTTATACACGTCGACGATAACGAAACTATCGTCGAAACAGTATCGAAAATAAACTTCGAAAGAACTACTAATGCGTTTTCAACCATAA